ATAATCGAAGTCATTCGTTTTCGGAGAGACAGGATATTCAGACTGTAATAACATTCTTTACGCGCAGTTTAATTGTATTTACAATTCAGATTTCCTTCGTACCTGCTCCGTGGGTTTAATAAGTTGACACGGATTAAAATTTCAATTTGCGGTAAGTCGTGTCCAACGATAATACTTTCGACTTCTTAACAAATACCCTATTGAAAACCGCGGAACCGCGAATGTGTCGTACGAAGCGAGTAATTAATTCAGATGGTAATTATAACGGACCATCTATTTCATCTGGTAATAAATGCGATCGGTCAAACACTGATCCTGAACAAACAAATTGCTTTCCTGGCTCCTCTTGAAATTCACCGGCGCAAAGTAATTTTCAATCATATCGAATAAAATCTGATCTGTACCATTCCCGAAATATTCGGAAAATTTGTCGTCCATCAACGACACAATTCCTTCTCTAAAATTATCTGCTGTAATCGTAACAGTTTTTTCTTTATAATAGGATTACACGATTGAACATGTGTTAGCAATTTCACAATTTTATACTTTCACAAAGGTATCACATTTCCGAGAATTTAATGAATTCATATTTTGAACGTTATGTCCGACATTTATCGAATCGAGTAAAGCAGCACGGTCTGTTTCGAAGGCTGATTGTGATAATTCGTGACCATAAAAATTGCATCATTTTAAAAATATCAATTTTTTTAGTTAAACATACATGTGAATGGTTAATAACATACATATTTAATATATATATTATCAAGCGCTAGAGGATTGATATATGTTAAAAAAACAATTTATTACAACGAACCATTAAATGATTCTGACGAATTATTCTTTTACTAAATTCACTTGATAATAAACAGAAATAACTATAAATTAAGAAATAATAAATTTATATACAATAAAAGAATCTGAAGAAGGCAGTTTCATTCGATAAGTGAAGAGTTTAATTTTAATAAGTATTTTATAAACTATAACAAGCAAGGTCGAATAGCACATTGGACAGTCGGATGGTACATGAATATATTTTTTTATTTTTGCGAGTTGAAAGTAATTATTAGATTACTGTGCACGGCGCATCGTATCTTCGTAACCTGAATTTTGCAATGTAATGGCAGAACGTAAAACATGGTTGTTTTCCAATAAGCATATTCGCTAACATAATTATTGTGATAATCCCATACAATTGTATTTTTGACATGTACTCCATTGAATGTTATTACACGCTCGTATATGTTATTTATAATATTAATTTATGAACATTGTAATATTGCTTAAAGTACGAAGTTTTCTCACGTTCATGTATTTTTAACGCACAGATATCATTTCACCGAATGTTTTATAATGCGTCCCTCCATTTTGAATATTCCGGAATACAAAATGTCCGGCGAACAGAACAGGAATGACAATAACTGGAATTTCATTTTTTTTTAAATAAAGAGTCCAATATACAGAATGGAATCTTGTTTGTAAAAAAGTTCGTTTTTGAGGGAATTGGAAATGAAAATTCAGAAGACACGTGTGATCTAGAATGAGAGCAATTACTCCAAGTGAAATCATTTATCAATTATTAATTTACGTCATATAATTATGAACTTGCACGATCATTCATATTAATAACCATAAAAAATAGAAACGATAAAAAATGATCGTTGTGATACTTGAATTGTCATGTATTAAATGAACGTTTAAACAAAGAAAATTAGGATAAGATGTTAAACAACATTTTATTCTATTTTAAAAATCGATTTGTTTCTTTTAACGGTGTTACTAATTATAAAATCTTCTTAATTAATTCTATATGCAATGTTAAATCAAATATATTCTATAAAAGGATAAAAGTAGCCGTGAAATACTTGTTTATGGTGATCGACACTTTCAATTTGTACTGTTTTTGTTTCAAATTATTTGACAAAAGTGATCATAGAGAAAAATGGAACACACAAATTCACTGACTCAGTGTTTCGACGTAGCGCTTCGCGTATTCCTGACTTTTTATTCAACGGAAACTGAGGGGAACTATGCAACCGGCCAATGTTTACAAAATCAGAATTTTATTGTATATACTCACCGAGTCCGTTTTCGCGGAATAGAACAACGTTCGCTCCTTTAAACATCACGAAACAAATAAAATTTCGAACCAGTACGAGAACCATTAGGACACAATTTTCAAGTTTGTGTATCAAAATTTTAATCCTTTGAGTCAAATACCAGTTTTTGTACACACGTTACACGGTTACTTAAAATTCTATGTTTTTCATGATGTAATAAAATATATACTTTCTTTAATGTATCTATATATTTCTATAATGTCATTATACATAAATATTGATGAAGTTTCTGTCATTCTAAAGTATTACAAATATATTTCGTATACGTATATTTACAAAATAATATTTTCTAAGGAAGACATCGCAACTGAATGAGTTATAATCATGGTCACTTTGAAATATGTCGCAAGTGGTTCAAAATTTATAAATTTAATTTAAAAATTTATCATAAATATACTATAGGTACTATAATTTTTCTAATAAGAAGACGATTAAGGAAATATTGAAAATTGTTGTCAGTACAACATACTTTTAAATCGTATTACCACTATGTGTCTAATTGAAATAATTTTAAATAAAATGTTTCCATGTCACCCAAAGAAATAATATCAAATATTCTGACACTCAAAAGGGAACAGAGAAAAATCCATTTATCAAGGACTTTTTACTCCGATCCTATCTATTTGCTAAACGATTTCTATTCTCTGATCGATTATCGAAAATAAAATGTACTTTTTAACGGTGACTCAATATTGATAATGAAGATAATTATTAGATATGTGAGCTTCATTTTGAAATAATTGTCAGAATAAATGATGGAAAGAGAATTTGAAAAAATTAATTTACCTTCGAACACATAATAAATATTATATTTCATTTAAATCAAGCTCGATTGCCATTCTTTTTTATTAATGAATAAATCAACCATACATATAAAATTAAATTAATGTCAATTAAATCAGTGTCAACTTCTCTCAACTTTTAGGAAGGAATCATTAATATTATCATATTAATGAAGAAATTTTATACATCTCGTTGGTAGAAAAGTAATGTCAGTCTTATGAATGTCATTTCATTTAATTAATCATATAATGTATTGAAACTACAAGAAAAATATACGTTGTACAGTTAATTATGTAGAACAACTCAACGACCTCAGCAAATAGTAAGAAGCAAAAAAAACTTAAAGTAAAGCAAAAACAATACAGGTATGATACGAACAAATTTATTATTATTGCACACATAAAACAGTGGTACGGCAATAAAGTGATTCAACCCCTTACGGACGAGAACTGTTTAAAATATTCAAAACCTTCGGCAGAGGAAGCAAAATTACACATCAAACTCTTAAATGCTAGGAAAAAGGAAATGCATTATCCTTTTATTATTTGAGCAACTGATTTATCTCTTTGCGACTTTACATTCTAGATATAAGGGTTTAACGTAGACAATACGATGACATTCGTCCTGAAAGTCATTAAACGCTAGATCAAAATTATTTTCTCATCGCTTCAATATTCAACACTGACTGCACGTCACTCAAATTTGGGTAACACCATTATTTATATAAATTTAACACATTCAGCGTCATGAAAATCTTCACCATTTTTTCGTAGAGTTCTCCCGTAGTACAGGAAAGCAGGAACAATTACTAATTATTTGGCGTTACAATCCCTGCATTACACTATTATCAGCTTAATTACGTTATTAAACATTTTCAGTGGACATCGGTTGTCTTGCATGTTACGATTGTTTTCAAGTAATTCAGAAGCGTCGGTCATTAGTGACTGACATGGCGCTTAACGTGTTAAGCAATAATTTTCTTGGCGAGGTATCGAATAAACTGACTTTTGTTGGTTACATGACTTATAAGAAAGATGATAGAACAATCGTCACGATAAATCTTGTTTAAATTTATAATATTGTTTTGATTACATAGGCATTTTGATGGGCGTTTACTTGGCAGTCGAAGTGTTAAATCGACCGAAGAAAGTTATGAGCAATGAAACTACTAACAATTCTGACTTTTTATCGAGTCCCTGATAAATTCGCGTATTCATATATGTCAGTACCATCTTTTAAGGATTAATGAATGGTAGTTCACAGAATATAGCAATTAATGCTCCACCGTACCCACTACATGACGGTATTTTCTGGCTGCGCATTCAAGTTTTGAAGCTTGAAAATTTTCTTCAACCCTTCGCGGCCTGAAACGTTCTTGGCCTTTCACTCCAAAGCATTCCTTAATCCAATTACAACTTAATACGACACTTCCGTAATTTATTTAAAAACATTTAGAAAACACTAAAACCGTCTATGCACGATTAGAACGTTACAAACGGACAACAAAAATGAACAAAGCAAAGATCGTATCATCAAATTTGTCTACCACATTTAGCCCAAGAAGTTTAATATTTATAACGTACAAAATGAATGCACATTCAGAAACGCAGTACAGTGCAACTTTATAAAACACTGTACAAACTACCAGACATAGCCCCATAAAAAACTAGCCTGCTCGGCTTGACCAGTACTAATGATCTGTCAGGGACTCATTAAAAAGTCGTCGTAACACTTGAGCGGCTACCCCCTTGTTTTGAGAATAATTGTATATATGAATCAAAGTGGCGTAACCACCACTAAAGAAACTTTCCAAACTTTCGAGAAAAATGTTCCTGAAGCATTGCACCCTGCCTCCTCCTAAATCAAACCAGGGGCAAGTTGTGAAACACAACGTTCCCACCCCTTCCCTTCGCGCGTCAATAAATAATAACCACGACGAGCATCGTAGGAATTACAATCACCAGCTGATCTTCCGATCGACACCAACACGAGATAATCCTTTTTCTTTTCGAACACTGATCGACCTCGCCGGAAACACGGGGGGGACCGTGGGATATGATAGGCGCGCGGTAAAAGTGTGCCAAACAATTTCGTACTCACCGGCTAATTCCGGGCGCACACCAACTAACAACGTAGTCACCACTAGAAGAGGCACCTGCAGTCCACGCGTGCACAAACCACGTTTTTCACACATGATTCACCAACACAGACCGCGAAACACTCGTAGCGCTTGCCGCGTCGAGACTGAAGTTC